GTCTTATTGTTGGCCTAGCATACTCAAAGCTAGAATAATCTTGGAGAAGGGTTCGAGATGGCTGGTAGGCGATGGGGTGTCTGTACGGGTATGGAAGGATCGATGGATTCCTAGATCGTCTATTGAGACAAGAGTAGTTTAGGTTGAGGAGCCTCGTAGTGTTATTCAGGATCTCCTCATCCAAGACATTTTGTAAGTTTCCCAAGTTAATGATATCGTCTTCCATTCAAAAAAGTTTAAAAAAATTTATTAATTATTTTCAAATACAATCTTTTTAGTTTTTTTTTTCCTTCATATATTTCTATTTATAATTTGTATCATTTTTTAAATTTATACCAATATATATATATATTTTATGAATGTTGTCACATTCCAAGCTCGACTCTATCGTATCACAATATTATCCGCTTTGGGCCCTGACCACGCCCTCACAGTTTTGTTTCTAAGAACTCACACGAGAACTTCCCAGTGGATCACCCATCTTAGGATTGCTCTCGTGCGAACTCGCTTAACTTCGGAGTTCCTATGGAACCCGAAGCCAGTGAGCTCCCAAAAGGCCTCGTGCTCGACCAACACAACTCAATTCGGAGTTCTAGTGGACAATCCGGGTCAGGATGTGTCAAACGTACCCATGCTAATTATATGTGTTTATTTTATGTTTTAAAATATATCAATAGTTATTACTTGCACTATATTAATACTACGTACATTTTTGTTTTGTTTTTTTTTTTTTTTTGCAAGAACCATGTGAAGAACAAATTACTCTACTATTGATTTTTAAGTAATTGTTATACTTGTAACAATATTTGGATTTGTTTAAATTTCATAATTTGTGGGATATTGAATGCATAAATACATGAGTTAAATCCCTTAAATGATGCTAGGGACCTCGATCAAACTATTTAAACAAATAAAGTTTCATTCTAACAACTAGATTAATTAGGGACCGAATCAAGAAAAACATAGCACAATTTGCCTTACTTTGAACGGGAACAACGAACATAGAATTTTGAAAGAAAATGATAAAACAAAATTATAAAAACCCAGGACAACTCACCAACTGAAGCTTCAATTCAGCTATGTTTTCGTTAAGATTTAAAACATGTCAAAGGAGGGAACAAACAAAAAGGAATCAGATGATGAAGATATGACAATATAGTAACCGAACCATGATTAGATAAATACAAAAGTAGTATAATAGATGATTAAATAAATACAAAGTAGTAACCGAACCATGATTAGATAAATACAAAAGTAGTACAATAGTTGGGGAAGCATCAATTCAGCTATGTTTTCGTTAAGGTTTAAAACGTGAAGTTTCAAGGACTGCATGTCAAGGGAGGAAATAAACAAAAAGGAATCAGATGATGAAGATATGACAATATAGTAACCGAACCATGATTAGATAAATACAAAAGTAGTATAATAGATGATTAAATAAATACAAAGTAGTAACCGAACCATGATTAGATAAATACAGAAGTAGTACAATAGTTGGGGAAGCATCAATTCAGTTATGTTTTCGTTAAGCTTTAAAACGTGAAGTTTCAAGGACTGCATGTCAAGGGAGGAAATAAACAAAAAGGAATCAGATGATGAAGATATGACAATATAATAACCGAACCATGATTAGATAAATACAAAAGTAGTATAATAGATGATTAAATAAACACAAAGTAGTAACCGAACCATGATTAGATAAATACAAAAGTAGTACAATAGTTGGGGAAGCATCAATTCAGCTATGTTTTCGTTAAGGTTTAAAACGTGAAGTTTCAAGGACTTCATGTCAAGGGAGGAAATAAACAAAAAGGAATCAGATGATGAAAATATGACAATATAGTAACCGAACCATGATTAGATAAATACAAAAGTAGTATAATAGATGATTAAATAAATACAAAGTAGTAACCGAACCATGATTAGATAAATACAAAAGTAGTATAATAGATGATTAAATAAATACAAAGTAGTAACCGAACCATGATTAGATAAATACAAAAGTAGTACAATAGTTGGGGAAGCATCAATTCAGCTATGTTTTCGTTAAGGTTTAAAAGTAGTACAATAGTTGGGGAAGCATCAATTCAGCTATGTTTTCGTTAAGGTTTAAAACGTGAAGTTTCAAGGACTGCATGTCAAGGGAGGAAATAAACAAAAAGGAATCAGATGATGAAGATATGACAATATAGTAACCGAACCATGATTAGATAAATACAAAAGTAGTATAATAGATGATTTAATAAATACAAAGTAGTAACCGAACCATGATTAGATAAATACAAAAGTAGTACAATAGTTGGGGAAGCATCAATTCAGCTATGTTTTCGTTAAGGTTTAAAACGTGAAGTTTCAAGGACTGCATGTCAAGTGAGGAAATAAACAAAAAGGAATCAGATGATGAAGATATGACAATATAGTAACCGAACCATGATTAGATAAATACAAAAGTAGTATAATAGATGATTAAATAAATACAAAGTAGTAACCGAACCATGATTAGATAAATACAAAAGTAGTACAATAGTTGGGGAAGCATCAATTCAGCTATGTTTTCGTTAAGCTTTAAAACGTGAAGTTTCAAGGACTGCATGTCAAAGGAGGAAATAAACAAAAAGGAATCAGATGATGAAGATATGACAATATAGTAACCGAGCCATGATTAGATAAATACAACAGTAGTATAATAGATGATTAAATAAATACAAAGTAGTACAATATGGTAACCGAACCATGATTAGATAATACAAAAGTAGTACAATAGTAACCCAATCAGCCTAGGTTCGTTGGGGCCAAGGCTTCTTGTGCCGTTGTTCTACCCCACGATTGCCTTTGGTTTTTGTAATCGCGAAATTAACAGAAATGACTCATGTTTTTAATCTTTGAATAAAAATAGGACAAAATGGTTGTGTACAAGTCATGCACATTATGCATAAAAGTAAAATGATGAAAGTACCTATGTATAAATTGTAAAAACTCACAGTTGGTGACGTATTTTTCTTATTTCGAAGAGAGGGATGTCGAGAGAGAGCTGTGAGCTCTATGTTTTTGGGTTGAGTTCCGATTTGTAAGCATATCATATACACGTCGTGTACATATAATGTATATTTATTCTAACCAAATCTTCATTCGACAATTCTAAGTGCATAAAATTCTGAGATCGTATGAGGAGATGTGCAATATTGGGAAAAAAAAACTAAGAACCTGTGAGATCCCAAATTATTGGACCAACAAACTGGAATTAAAAAGAAACTCTCACAACGAGATCTGCAATTTGAATCAAGGAGGAGACCCAAATCATCCGTTCTCCAAAAAAACAAAAATCCCAATCGTTGAACTCAATTTCTAGAAAACTAGAATTCTAAAAGAAACAATCTTTGCAAATTTTAATCAACTTTATAAAACAAAATACAAAACTCGGCCGAGCCGATTCAACACCCAATTTTTTCTCTCTTTTCTCTGTTTTTTCTTTGTTGTTTGATAGGATTTTTACCACCCGCACAAAAAGGGTTAAAAACACCTAAAATAAACAATATTATTGTAGTATAGTTGGCTCAAACAAAGTCGTTCTCCACAGGAATTAATTTAAATAGATTAACACAAAATCAATTCTCAACTAATTATTTAGAACAAAGTTTTGGAAAAAGGGTGATTTAATAACCTAAATTAAGAAAAACGAATTTAATTAAAAAGGTCAACTAAAATATGCAATTTTAAAGAAGGAAAAGGGAAATAACTTTTAGAATTCAAAGTGAGAAAGTACTAGGGTTCCTCCGTCATCCTAACAATCCTATGTAGTTCTTCTGACTACTTATGAACCATACATGCATATTTTGAAGGTTAGGTTTTCCTAAAGTATATCCTACTTGGAACCTCCAACATAGAACGTATATCTAACATGCACCTGTCCGTGGTGTCCAGGTCAAATGTGAACATGCAAGACTCATTAAGTTATGTGAAAACCTTCTGAAAAACCATATAACCCTAAAGACATGTCGTCTATCCTAAGAAGTTACACATATTAACCACAAGAAGCATCAGTCAATTTTAGGGAAAGCCTCCCCAAAATTGCATCAAATTACTTTTCTAAATATTCTAATGGTCGCGAAGCACTAAGACAAATAGATAGTTTAAACCAGTGATTAACAATTCAAAATTTGCATGCATAAATTCATAAGAAAATTAAAAAGAGACAACATATTCTTGCCAAGGATCATGGCTTCACCCTAGCAAAGATGATTAGTTACGCATATTCATAATAAAAATCACAAAGTCTTTATTGAAAAAGAATGAAAACACCTTGAAAGTATAAGTCTTGAAATCTCTAAGCTTTGCCCAAAATCTTCTCTCCAAAAATTGCATAGAAAAGAAAAACCCTAGGGCTGGCCAAAAAGGCTTATTTATACTACTCTAATTAAATCCTCCTAGTAAAAGGTCTTAGAACGAGACTAGGAAACCAAATAAGTTGAAATAAATTAGGAAACATAATCCTAATTTAACTTGGTAAATTCGTCCAAAATACCGCAGCTCCAAAACTCACCCAAAATAGCTGTATTTGAAGCTTGGACTATTTTGAACACTTCGCCAGAGGGCCATGAACCCATCTAAAATAATCTTGGGCTCCAAAAACTACATTTAAGCCCAAAAACGTCACTTTCCAATAATGCGTACTACTCCTTTATTTAATCACCAGAAAATAATCGGTTGGTAGAAATTTATGAAATTTTGATACAAATACACCAAGAGACACATGAACGTCCTCCAATTCGAATCACTTCAAAATTCGTCTGTTTGATCATGTTTTGCTCCAGAGGAAGATAAATACAAAAGTAGTACAACAATTGGTAAAGCTTGAATTCAGCTATGTTTTCGTTAAGCTTTAAAACATGAAGTTTCAAGGACTGCATGTCAAAGGAGGAAACAAACAAAAAAGAATCAGATGATGAAGATATGACAATATAGTAACCGAACCATGATTAGATAAATACAAAAGTAGTATAACAGATGATTAAATAAATACAAAGTAGTACAATATGGTAACCAAACCATGATTACATAAATACAAAAGTAGTACAATAGTATCCAATCAGCCTAGGTTCTTTGGGCCCGAGGCTTCTTGTGCCATTGTTCTACTACACAATTGTCTTTCGTTTTTGTAATCACGAAATTAACGGAAATGATTCATAAAATATGTGATGTACTATTCATGTTTCCGTCACAATTAAAAATTTATCCTCGAATTGCAGAATCCCAACCGCACCTCATCTTCCATTTCTACTGCAATATTGTACCTTCCTTTCTCACATCAACACAAATCCTTCACCCGTTGCTGCTCCTCCATGTGCATTAGGGTCTCCCAAACTAACTTCAAACCATGCCTTTTTGCTCTCGGTCCCAGTCATAGAGTGCATCACCATTGCTGTAGCTCGGTGGCGAAGCTCGAAGTCCCAAAGGTAAAGATCATTCCTTGCTGCCATTGCGTTCCATTGAGTGTATTTTTATGGAAAAATTGAAGAACTAACACATGCAACTGCTTTCTCTGCGAGGACTCTCTGTTCCACAACAAAAGAAATGCACCAACACCCAAGCTTCACAGATCCAGGGCCAATAAAAACCCATCTATGTTCCCATTGATGCACAGGATTGGACTCCGATGTCGTGGATGACGGCATGCAAAAGAAATGCTGGGACCGCGCAGAGCCGTTGTAAATGGGAAGAGAGAGCACTGAAGGCGTGGATCCAAAATAAAAGGTAAAATGTCTAACTTCCCCCTTTCGATCTTTGTTTATGCATGACATGAATAATCACTAGCGGATCTTCGAGAAAACTAAATAGACTGCCATCTTGTGTCGAAAACTCCCAGATCCGTGTATGACAAGGAAAAAACAAAACAAAGGAGAACCCTCGGAGGCTAGAGATCCGTGTAAAGAAAAGGTAAAATATCAACGTTGATATGTCTGGGTTCTGATCTGTAAAAACATAGTACAGGTACTCACATGTCTGTATCTCTATGTAGGACATCGGAGCTGTGATAGATCCGAGAGAGAATGCTCAAGCTGCAGATTTAGTCAACAAAAATGGCAAAAGAAGTTTCCAAGTTACCATGACTTCGGATCTGAAAGTTATGGCGCCGTATCTCCGCTGGAATCCATGCTGGATGTTTAAACTTCTGTAAATGAGCATGGCATGCATGTATTATCTGTGAAATCACCCCAAAACTTAATATGAGTAACAAATGTGGACTGTAAATACTGGACAAAAGTTTAGATCTGTACGGGGATGAGATTTTTGGACTTAGAACACGCCTTCTCCCAGTAATAAAAGTGAATGAAAACCTGGATCAGCCCTGAACATATATGTGGACCATTTGGACTTGATCTGTGCTGAGCACAGATAAAGAACCAACCCCCAAATTCAAATAACGGCATACATGGCGTCTTCGAATGTAGAAGTTGTAGATATGCACAAAAATAATGCATCCTCAATAACTCATCAACCTGAATGATTTGTTGCAGGAATATGCTAGATCCACAAAGGCAGCTCAACGTTGAAGCCAGAAACCATATCTAATGGTCCACACAGAAGAATGGCTGCGCGACAAAACAGAAAGGTATAACGTCCTATCCCTGCAACTCGGGGCACAGATTGGGTTGCAAAAATGTAGATCTGGTAAACATGATGGAGATCAGTTCTGCAGTATGTGGATCTGTGATTTTTGTATATTCTGCTTCCACATATCAAAGAACTGCATCCCAGAAACCAATGGTCAGATGTACACTTTTGGGACTGGATCTGTGAGTCTGCAAGATCTTTGTAATTTCTGCAATATTCTTCAGCATAGTATAGGGATGTGGTTGATGTTAATGTAGACTTGCTGCTGGGTGCATGATCCAGTATAGGATAATCTCTGTGCATTGATTCTTGTTCGTCTTGTTTGTTGCCCTACAAAACCCAAGTCTTGAGAATTAGAGATAGAATGTAAAGGACCCCGAAATGTAAACTAGAGTTACTTAGGAAATAAAACAATTAAAGCAAAGTATTGTTTTGTTATTTTTTTCAGATTTCTATTTTTGTTTATGTTTTTGTTTTGTTTTGTTTTTTGTTTTTGTTTTTTTTTTTTTTTTTGTTGATATGATTATTTGTGAAACTAAATGACAACCTAGGAAATTAAATGCATCTAGAAACTGAAAATAATGAAACAAACTTGAAAGAAAATAAGGAAAGTTAGAAAATTGGGTTGTCTCCCAATAAGCGCTTTATTTTAAGTCGTAGCTAGACTTTGCAGAAGCCTGGTGGTTAGATCACTGGTTCCTTCAGAGTCAATGACTCAGTTGCACTGTCGAAGAGTGATGCCAAGTATGGGTTCAACCTGTGACCATTCACCTTGAATGTGTTGCCATTCATCTCGCTTGTAATGTCAACTGCCCCATGCGGATAAATCTTAGTAACCAAGTAAGGCCCATTCCAACGAGATTTCAATTTCCCTGGAAATAACTTTAATCTGGAATTGGATAACAACACTTTCTGCCTTGGCTGGAAATCTTTTCTGAGAATTTGTTTGTCATGGAATTGCTTTTGTTTTGTCTTTGTATATGCGTGCATTTTCATAAGCTTCACGACGAATTTCATCAAGCTCATTAAGCTGTAGCATACTCTTTTCTCCTGCTGAATCGTAAGTAAAATTTAACTCCTTAACAGCCTAAAACGCCTTATGCTCTAGCTCCATAAGTAAATGACAAGCCTTGCCATACACAAGCCGAAACGGGGACATCCCAATCGGTGTTTTAAATGCTGTTATGTATGCCCAGAATGCATCGTTTAATTTCAAACTCCAGCCTTTGTGAGTGGAGCCAACTGTTTTTTCCAAAATACGCTTAATTCCTGTGTTTGAAACTTCAACCTACCCTAACGTTTGTGGACGACAAGGAGTGGCAACACAATGATTTATCCCATATTTTGCAAGTAATGTAGCAAATGGTTTATTAATAAAATGCTTTCCCCCATCACTAAGTATAACTTGCGTGATTCCAAATTGTGAAAAAATAACCCCTTAGAGGAATTTTAGAACCACTGATCCTTGATTAGTTGGTGATGCAATTGTCTCGACCCACTTAGAAACATACTCAACTGCCACCAAAATATATTGATTGCCATGTGATGATGGGAATGGTCCCATAAAATCAATACCCCAAACATTAAATAATTCAACAACCAAAATACCATGGTATGGCATCTCATTCTGCTTGGATTGGTTTTCCACTTGTTGACAACGATCACAAGATTTACACCAATTATTAGCATCCTTGCAAAGGGAAGGCCAAAACAACCCACTTTGTAGAATTTTAGCTATTGTCTTTGTAGTCTCAAAATGTCCACCACAAGCATAATGATGTGCAAACTTTAAAACGTTGTGTTGTTCCTCCTCTGGAATACATATGCGAATAATCTGACATAGGCAGTATTTGTACAGACACGGCTCATCCCAAAAATAAAATTTTACATTTGTCAAAAGTTTCTTTTTCATCTGGATTAATAACTCCCCTGGCCAAATAATTAACAACATCTGCAAAGCATGGTATATTGTGATGGACAGCCAACAACTGTTCATCAGGAAAACTTTCATTAAGAGGTAATGTGTCATCTTGTGCACTAGCAGGATTAATTAATCTTGATAAATGATTAGCCACCATGTTTTCACTGCCCTTTTTGTCCCTAATTTCCAAATCATACTCTTGAGGTAAAAAAATCCATCGAATAAGTCGAGGTTTAGCATCCTTTTTAGATAACAAATACTTCAGTGTAGCATGATATGTGTAGACAATTACCTTAGCTCCAATTAAATAAGAACGAAAATTTTCTAATGCAAAAACAACTACCAACAATTCTTTTTTGGTGGTTGCATAGTTGAGTTGTGCATCATTGAGAGTTCTGCTGGCATAATAAATGACTTGAGGAAGCTTGTCTTTTCCCTGTCCAAGAACTGCCCCAACTGCACAATTTGATGCATCACACATTAATTCAAACGGTAAGTTCTAGTCCAGAGCTGCAATAATCAGTGCTAAAGTAAGGAGTGTTTTTAACTTGTTGAAAGCCTCCAAGCATCCATCATCAAAAACAAACTGTGCATCCTTAGCCAATAAATTACACAAGGGTTGGCTAATCTTGGAGAAATCCTTGATATACCATCTGTAAAATCCAACATGCCTAAGAAACGAACGAATGCTCTTCACAGTGGTAGAGGGTGGCAACTTAGCAATAACATCAATCTTAGCTTTATCAACTTCAATACCTCTGCTAGATACTAAGTGCCTTAAGGCCTTGTTTAACCATAAAATGACACTTCTCCCAATTCAAAACCAAATTAGTTTCTTTGCAACGTTCAAGAACCAATGATAAATTCTACAAACAATGATCAAACGAATCCCCAAAAACAGAAAAATCATCCATAAATACCTCAACACTTGTTCAACCAAACCTGAGAATATGATCATCACGTAACGTTGGAATCTTGCTGGTGCATTGCATAATCCAAAAGGCATTCTTCTGTAAGCAAACATACCAAAAGGGTATGTGAAGGTGGTCTTTTCCTGATCTTCTGGAGCAACTAGAATTTGATTGTAGCTTGAATACCCATCAAAAAAATAATAGAAAGCTCGACTTGCCAATCTCTCCAACATCTGATCAGTAAATGGTAATGGAAAGTGATCATTTATAGTACCTGTATTGATCTTTTTGTAGTCAACGCACATTTGCCTCCTAGTAGTTAAACGTGTAGGCACAAGCTCATTGTTGTCATTTTTCACAACTGTAATTCTAGTGCATTTAGGTACCACTTGAGTTAGACTAGCCCATTTACTATTTGAAATTGGATAAATCATTCCAGCATCTAAAAGCTTCATAACCTCATTTCGAACAACTTCCTTCATAATCGGATTCAACTGGCGTTGGGCATCAATGGTGCGTTTGACACCCTCCTCCATCAAAATTATATGCATACAAAGTGTTGGGTTGATCCCTTTAATATCTGGAATTGTCCACCCAATGGCATCTTGAAAACTTCTCAAGATGCGCAACAATTTGTCTTCCTTAATTAGAGATAAATCTGCAAAAACAATGACTGGCAGCGATGAATTAGCACCCAAATAAATATGTTTAAAGTGCTCGGGTAATGGCTTCAATTCCAGCTTAGGTGGCTGTATTTTTTAATGTTGTAATGGTGTTTTTGGTTCCTCCAAACTCTCAAAAATGTGCCTCCACTTTGGCTGGTGTAAAAGGACACTTTCCAAAGCTGTAACATACTCAAATACCTCTTCATCTTCAGTTTTTGTGTCTTCAAAACCATGTAAAACATTTAACAATGGATCTGCTGTCAAATGGGGCATAATATATGCAGGCATGATGCCTTCTAACACATCAACTCGCATACAATCTTGCATATCACTGGGCCTCTTAGTCGTTTCAAATAAATTAAAAACAACAGATTGTTCTTGTACTCTAAGTGTCAATGTTCCAGCTTTCACATCGATCAAAGTTCTAGCGGTTTCCATGAATGGGCGCCCCAAAATAATATGTGTTTGCATATCTTTATCCATATCCAAAACCATAGAATCTGCTGGAAGGTAGATATTATCCACTTTGATAATAAGATCTTCAATAATGCCCCTAGGATAAGTGTAAAATAACTGATGTTATCTGCTTTGACAGTTATCCGCTAACTGTAAAATAACTGATGTTGGTTTGATTTTTCCTTGTCCTAGGCTCTGAAAAACAGAAAAATGCATTAAATTAATACTAGCACCCGAATCGATTAAAGCACGTTTAAAATCTGAATTTCCAATTATGCGTGATTTTGTAAAACTCCCTAGATTTTTTTCTGTGGTGGCAATTTTTGTAATAAAACCACACTGCATTATTATGTGAGAATCACTTTTTCAAAATCCACAAGCTTCTTTTTCTTTGTGCACACATTTTTCAAAAACTTGGCATATGAGGGAATGTTCTTGATTGCATCAATTAACACTAGATTAATTTGAACTTTAGCTAATGTCTTCATAAAATCTGTTAATTGTTGATCTTTGGCATGAGACTTCAATCTTTCGGGATATGGCATTGGTGGCACATAAACACTGCAGCAATTTCTATTGTTTTTGGATCTATCCAAGGGCTGTGCAAATTCTGCTGAAATTTTAGAATCTACAAAAATATTAAAATTTGTCTTTGGCTAGCAAGTTGATGTCCGTGAACTTTCTGCATCATTTTTTTCATTTGCTACATTTATGTTGTCATAACTTTTACCACAACACAGTGTTCTAACAGCATTAGAATCAGCATGTCCTCATGGATTTTGAACAGTTTGACTGGGATATTTTCCTGGTTCTCTATTTGACCTTTGTTGTGCAATCTGTCCAATTTGCTGCTGTATGTTTTTCATGGTTGTATGCATATTTTGTATGCTCTAGTTTGTCTTCTGAATGTCCTGTTTTGTTGCATCAAAGTTCACCCGAGTATGTCATGCTAATATTTCAATTGCGACTTCCCAAGAAGCTTTAGCTAGTGCAGCAATTTATTGTACCAGTTGTTGAAACTGTGGTTTAGCCTGTTGATCTTTGGCCCACTTGAAATTTGGGTGATCTCTTCACCCCGAGTTGTAAAAATTTGAATACGGATCATTCCTAGGCCTCCGATAATTATTAAATGCATTAACCTGTTCTGTAACATGCTCTGGATATGTATCCCTATGCAGGCAGCCCATAAAATCATGTGTTGTGATGCCATAAATGGTACAAGCTGCTGCATAGGTGCTGCTGTCGTTCTCTGTAAAAGCATGTCAAATTTTGCATCAAAATTTTCTAACTTTTTCTCCATCTTTTCTATTTGTGCAAATACATGAGGTGAGCCACTAGACATCTCAAAAACACCCCCAGTCTGAGGTAGATCAACTGCCCATTGTTGAGATTTTGTTGCCATTTTCTCAAACAATTGATACGCTTGCAATGCATTTTTGTCTGAATACGTTCCTCCACAAGAAGCATTAACAAGAGTCTTGGTAGTCAAATTCAACCCTCTGTAAAATAAAATCATTTGAGTATCATCATTAATGCCTGAATGTGGACATTTCTTGAGCAAGTCCTTGTAACGTTCTCAGGCTTCATGAATTGCTTCGTTAGGTTTCTGAGCAAATGTTAAAATTTGAGTGCTCATATCAAGTGTTTTTTAAGCTGGGTAGTATTTGCTTAAAAATGCATCACTGAGTTGGTTCCATGAAGTAATCCTTCCAGATAGAAGTGTGAGTAACCATCTCCTTACGCCATCCTTCAAGGTGTAAGGAAAAAGTCGGAGTTTGATAGATTCGGCTGAAAAGCCTTTCACCAAAATATTTTTGTACCCCATCATAAATTCAATTAGATGCATGTTAGGTGATCTTGATAAACTGTGAAAAGAGGGCAAAATCTCCAACATATGATGTCATATCTAAAATGTAGACCCATCTTCGACCTCAGGATATGCAGCTTGGAACCTCTGTAGCATGTGCTGCCAAAGATTCCTCAGCGGTTGTCCCGCTATTGGTAGAACAAATGCCATGGCCTCTTTGATGTCCAAAACCCCCTATAAATAAATTATGCAAAATTGTTCCCTGTAGTGAGGGTTCTCATTGCAGATTCTGCTCTCTACGTCTATATCTAGCTGTTCGTTCATGTTCAGGATCAAAAAGACTTATTTAGAATTAAATCCTCCTAGTAAAAGGTCTTCGAATGAGACTAGGAAGCCAAATAAATTGAAATAAATTAAGAAACATAATCTCAATTTGACTTTGTAAATTCATCCAAAATACTATACAGCCACGTTTTGGACCCATATCAGCTCCAAAATTGGCCCATAATACCTGGATTTGAAACTTGGACTATTCTGAACACTTCTCCAGAAAGCCATGAACCCATCTGAGATCATCTTGGGCTCCAAAAATAGCATTTAAGTAAAAAAACATCACTTTCCAGCAACACATACTGCTCATTTATTTAATCGCCAGAAAATAACCACCTAGTAGAAATTTTTGAAATTTTGGTATGAACACGCTAAGAGACACATGAATGTCCTCCAATTTAAATCACTTCAAAATTCATCTGTTTGGTCATGTTTTTCTCCAGGGGAAATCGTATGTCCTATATTGAAAATATAAAGTAAAGTATCAAAGTTTTACCAAAATAATTATCAAAACACACTAAGAATAAGGTAAAATATATAATATGAAATTGACTAATCATTGTTTACTTTCTCTTACATGCTATTTGTCATCTGCGGTGCCACCACGAAGGCCCAAGGATGCGGAGAGTCATCGCCGCCAAACTTTTGCCAACAAACCCTAATTTCTCACTCTCTATCTCATTGCATATGACAATAAGCACACTTGAAAGTTCATTTTTGGGAATCCTTATCGCTGCCCAACCCTTCCCTACGAGCCTATTGCATACTCTAACGGAGATTATGATGCATGCCTAGACTTTTGCTGGTCTTCCTCTTGCATCTGTTAAGATACCACACCATATGGCACAATAAGATAGTGACAAGTGTACAAGAGGTTGTTATTAGTTAGTTGGAATTAGAAGTTTGGTTGTTAAATAGTGGTTTGTAAGATAAGGCAAAACAGTTATGAAATACATGAGCAATTGTTAGTATTCTATCTGTATAATCAAGAAAGAAGTGGAGCAAGGTTCTATTTGGGCCCAAAATAATATTATTGGGCTGAGCATAGGTTTATGTTCAGTTCAAAGCTTTTTCAAATGTACTATGGATAAGAGCGGATGGGTCGAAGTCCTAGTACGATAAGAGGTCCTGATGCATGAATTATACGCACACAAATTAAACCCTCTTTTTGACAATTGTAGTAAGCATGTAAGTAGGGATCGTTCTAGACCGGGGATTAGGAGGGATTGTAAATCACTTGGATTTTACTCAAAAACGTAAAAACACAATATAAGACTTTCTAACTAAGTTGGACACTAAAGAAAAGGGGGATTGGATTTGGACGAATTTAAACTAAAATGGATAGAATGTAAAGAAAACAAATTGTAAATACGAATTTGATGGAATTGAATGGATGGAAAGCTAGCTAAGGGGTTCATCTCCACACATGTTATACTTGCATACAAAATGATTTCTAATTGCTTTTCAATAAACCATGAATTCTCAACACCCCGGGTTAATTAGGTCCGCTTAAATTAACCGTCAAGTTTTCCTTAAGTTAATGAATTGGATGATTGCATACGACAACCCAAAGCATTCCCCACAAGTTCCCTACATGAATTGCATAATAGAGATACAAGCAAGAATCATTAAGTTCTTTGAAAACCATAAGTGTTGACGAGGCATTCGTTACTATGAATTGCATGAAACTTATGCCAAGAATTTACTTAACGCGATTGTTTATAAGCAACCTCCACTACTTGTGAATATAAGTTCATAACTATTAGATGAAACTCACTTATATTCTAGCATCATATTCATGCATGAAAATTAAGCGTGCACTCTCAATAAACATACATAAATAGGTTATCAATCAAATAGTTAAACAAATTGAATCCACAACTTATGAAACACAATTGGAAGTAATCAAATCATATTGCAAGCATAAACATGTATTTCGAATCCCCCCCTAGCCAAGGGGGGGTTTAGTTCCTCATACGTACAAGACAAAGAGAATTGAAATTAAACATTGTAATCGAGGAAAAGAAACACCTAAACATTCCAACAACTCAAACTTGAATTGTATGAACGTTTAGGCACTCTTCTCCTCCTCTTCGTTGTAGCATAAGGTCTAAGGATAGTGTTTTGGAGGGATGGAAGTGTGGAATGGAGTGGGGAGTTATGGAAATGGATGGAGATGGAGGAAAAAATGGTGCAGAAAATGGAGAGAACCCACGGCAAAGTGGAAGTGTTTGTGGAAGATGGTGTGTGTTTGTGTTGTGAATGGAGGTGTGGGAATTGAATGATAAATAAATGAAGTGTGTGTGGTTTATATAGGGAGAGAATGGATGGGAGAGCATGTGAATTGCAGCTAGGAATGATTAAAGGGGTGTTGCTAGGTTGGAAATGCATGTGGAATTGCAAGGAGGAAAGCTGGAAATGCATGTAGGAGTGCACGGCAAGGAAGGTGTTTTGTATTGGAAATGCATGTGTTGGCTGATTTATTGAAGGGAATGCATGTGAGTGACAACTAGGTTGGTTGGTGATGAATGCATGTGAGTTAAAGAGTGAATGGTGGCTGCAATAATGAAATGGAATGGCTGGAAAGTGGAAGGGAAAGGCACGGCAACAAGGTTTTGGTGCTTGAAATGCATGTGTTTGCATGTGAATTGAAACTAGAGTGAATGATGATGAATGCATGTGGATTAAAGAGGGAGAATGTGGTGAAATGATGAAGTAGGAAGGTGGAAATGCATGTGAAATGCTGGAAAGGGATTGGGAATGCACGGCAAAGGAAGTGTTTGGGTGCATGTGTGTGAATGGTGGTTTTGCATGGCTTTGATGGATTGTTTGATTGGGCTAGGGGTTTTGCATGTGAATTGATGGATTGTTTGATTGGGCTAGGGGTTTTGCATGGCTCAAAAGATTGTTTGATTGGGCTAGGCCCTTTGTTTTATGTCCTAAAGAGCATACAAGGCTTCAATTTCGTCCATCCTCTTTGCTCCATGATTAAGCTATCCAATCCATGCCCAAAAATGCTCCAAATAGCCTCAAAATGCACTTTCTTGCTCCCTTTGCCATATGAACCTAAAAACACACGAAAATGGCTTAAACTACTAAAACAACTAGGAATTAACAATATAAATGCATGAAAACAAGCTAAGTAAGTCGCCTAATTATGCTCCTATCAAATTCCCCCACACTTAGCTTTTGCTAGTCCTCGAGCAAAACAAACAAACTAAACAAAACAAAACAAAACAAAACAATCAAAAGACAATCTAAACCTTCCAACGTTGCCTCAGGGGTTTCCAATGCACATGACATGTTTAAATTCATTATCTCCATAGATTTTAGTCATCTTCATACTTAAGTACATTCTTAATCATAGTCACCACATACTAGTTCACAATTAAGCATTTAAAACCATGTTTTGAATGTAGTAACATGCCTTAGAGAATTTGCTCAATTCCTCACAAGATATGCACTCAATTTTCACTCAGATTTTCTGACTACACACCCTACACTAAGTATATGTGAGAAGATTGATGTAAATATGAAACTAAACTCTCACATATGTATATCTCAAAGAAAGCAATTTCTGGAGTTAATAAACATGTTTGGATATGATCTCACGAATGGAATGCTACCACTTAGATGCGAGAACCAGTGACACCATATGCTCATACCAAATTCAAACTCCACAATTGAAATGCACAACACTCAAGATAGAAGTCAAGGGT